TGTGCTCTTAGGGGAGCTATTTTTAACTCTGAGTCACACTTCTTGGCTCTTTCCCTACCTATTAAAAATTAGAAGCGCCATTAATTCCTACAAAGGCCACTGCATCCACCGTTCTGCTTCTTGAAAAAAGAAATCTTTTGTTTCAGTTTTCATTCCTCAGAGCCCTACTGAAATCCCAAAGATACTGAAATCAATAGTTTTTTTCTGATACTGTACAGGCTAATGCTCACTCACCTCAGTGCACCTGACTTTTCAGCAGAGATGTGAAAAGCTGCACCATATATGACTGACTGAGGACTTCCAGCTTGAAGCGCTTTAGTTGCAACATTCAGACTAGTTTGGCAAAGCTTTAAAAAATACAGTCATCCTCTTCTCCCACAGTGAAGCTTCTTGTTTTATAAATTTTAAATACGCACATTGTTATTTTTAGTCTGTTTTACATGACAAGCTAAGCTGTAATGTATGATGAACAAGCAAGCATATACCACCATATTGCTCTTCTTCATAAATGGCTCTTTAACTTTTTCCATTTCTGGTGAGAGGTTGAGCCTTTGGCCACTCCATCATGAGGTGCTGTAGGGCATGGACTTCTTCTGTTGTTTAACACCTACCTGAAGGTGGGAGAGGCCAACCACCAGCACAGGGTGAGGTACCATTTATATATATCCAACCTAGGCTGGCTAGATATGATGGAGATCCTGACTTGGTGCCAGGAGGCTGTTAGGATCTGGATGGAGAGAAATAAGCTTAGATTGAATCCTGCTAAGGCAGAGTAGCTGTGGATTTGGAAGCCAACTTAAAGAGAGTCCATCTTTGACAACAGATGGGGTAGTGCTCATGTATATAGAGCTGGTCTACAACTTGAGGGTCATTATGGACTCATGGCTCACATGGAACACAGATATAAGCTTAGAGAAGATATGTGGAGACCATTAGCACAGTTTGAGCTAAGACTGTTAGCCAAATATCAGTTCATTCTGAGAAAACAAGAAAGCCTAAGAAAGAAACTTAAAATTACCCCACCTTGACTCTTTTTGGTATAAGAAGGGAAGGGGAAACACTGTCAGACATTCAAGATTATAGCTTATATCAGTAAAGTTGAGTTCTAGTATTTCTTGCGGGGTCTGTTTCCTGACCTGGCCTACCTCACAAGGCTGACACCTGTACCTGCTTGAAAAACAGGTGAAAGCCATGGCAGGTGGGTCATTTAATACTACAGCTTATGCACTAGTTGCATCCTTTCCTAGCTGAGGAGGCTTTACTCCTACTCATGCCCTTGTCACCTCACAATTTAATTACTGCAGTGTGCTCTATTTGGGGCTGCCTTTGAAGAGCATCTGGAAGTTTCAGCTAGTGTCACATACAGTGGCCCAGACAGTTATGAGCACACAGAGGTCTGCTTATATAACATCATGACTATTGCTTTGGCTGCCAGTTAGTTTCCAGGTACAATTCATGATGCTAGTTGTCACTTGTAAAGCCCTATATCCCTGTAGGATATCTTTGTGATTGTCTTTTCCAAATTGAATCTGCCTGTCAAATAAGACCTGGGAGAAAGGGTTTGCTGAGGATCCCACCACCACTGCAATGCCATCTTCAGGGACTCCACTTAAGCCTTCTTTGTGATGGCCCTACTTTGGAACAGCTTATTCTTGGATATCTGAATCACCCCCTCCTTTTTTGGAGAGCTGTAAAGTCATGGCTCTTCAGAAAGGCATTTGGAGATGAGTAAGATCATGCTACCCCCAAATGGTGGCACATCAAATTGATCAACTATAATTGCATTAATTTATTTTTAATCTTATTGTATTAATAATGCAAGTTACACAGACCCTCAGGAAATGGAGTGGCATATAAATGCTATAAATAAACAAGCAAACAAACAAACATGTCATTTATCCTGTTATCTGGCATCAAAACAATATCATCTTGTAGAATTAGAAAATGACCTTGTAACCTATGATAAACCTAGGTAACAAAGCTAAGTTTCTACATCTTCAAAATGATGTTGATTGGAGATCCAGAAGACCTGGAAAATGTAAAAATGAGTTTAAAAGTTGTGTACAATGCATGTTTGCCTAATATGAACATTAGTTTAGTATGTCACATAAACACAGCTTACAAAAATTTCCTGCCTATTAATCCCTAGTAGAACTTAGTCTTTTTGTGGTAATGCTGTAAATAATTACTGAAGAAACTATGAAGAAATTGGTCCATATTACAATATCAGAGGGAGAGAGGGAAGGAGGGAGGGAGAGAAGGAAGGAAGGAATGACAAAAACTTTGCACAGATACCAGGTTTTCAATTAGTATGGCTTTCTCATGAAACTGCAAATAGGACTGGAACCTTTATTTTATGTACAATAATTTTCAAAAAGGTGACCAAATCTTATTTCCTTTTTAAATGTCAGACGTATTACTTAGATCTTATTTAAAAGCCTCTATATCTATGGCTTGAAAGCTTGCAATATTTATTTTTATAGCCAGTACTGGACATACCAAAAATCACTGCAATGGTACTAGACAGCAAGGATTTATTAATGAAGTACTGTTAGTGTACTGTATACATTTTAAAATATATGTATTTTCTTATAATTAATGTGTAAGTATAGTGAAAAATATTTAGAATAATTATCTGAACGGATGATAATGGAAGAATGAAAAAGCGGGACGTTGATATTTACCTCTACATGCTTACTTTTCTGTATGTGTTAAGATAAACAGCATAAAGTACAGTGGTACCTCGGGTCACAAACGCTTCTGTTCATGACCAATCCGGGTCATGAACAGCACCGTTCGCAAAATTTTGCTTCCGTTCGCCAACACCGGATCGGGTGACGAACAGGATCCGCGGCCATTTTCCCTGCCGTGACACATGCTCGTGGCTTCCTGTAGGGAGGGGGACTCTCCCTCCAAGGAATAACCGCCTCCCCACCCGCCTTCCTGTCCTCCACGCCAGAAGTCACGTCGAGCAAGGTTAGCGTTCTCTCTCTTCGTGCTGTATTTTGTTTCATATTTTTGTGATTT